GAAATAAACTAGAAAAAGAATGCAGTAGACTCCAATGATAAATGTCATTGATAAATGAGCTGTACAAACTCTTAGTATAGTTGGAGGTGAACTTGTCCATTGTTCTGTGAAGGGATTTGGAATGTTACTGTTGAAATTGGTTGTGGGCAGCTCAGTCATGGAAATATTACTGGCTATATTTGGAAAAATAAACTAAGATGAGAATATGGTAAATACATTAGTACATTTTTTTCCATATTTAAAAATGTATTTTTGGGAAAAAAAATTCTTAAAGAAAAAAAAATCTATTTCCTTTTTTTAATCTAGTTATAAACTGCCCAACTCTTTATATGAAGAAAGAACTAAGAAATTTGTGTAACTTAACTCTGTACAATAATTTTAAGCTTTGAAATGAGTAAAACATTCTGTACTGTACCTATTTTAATCTCATTTCTGTACTAGAGATCTCAGCTGTGCAAGCTACAATATTGATTCATCTGGGTGGAATGAAATATGATTAGCAAGAGGGATACAGAAAATTCTGTTGATCTGATTTCTTTTCCCTGCCACTGTTCTGACCATGAATACCTTAGCTTCTTATAGTTCAGCCGAAGAGTGAAAAAAAGGCTCTGGGATCAGAGGAGAAGCTTCAAAGCTGTTACAAATTTAAGCCCATGGTTTCCCTATTGTGATGGTACAACTCCCCTTCTTCCTCTATGCCACTCTAGAATCTCACAGAATCACAAAACAACCTGAGTTGGAAGGAACCCATGAGGATCATAGAATCCAACTTCTGGCCCTGCACAGGACACCCCAAGAGTCACATATGTGCTGGAGACCATTGTCTAAATGCTTCTTAAACTCTGCCAGCCTGGTGCTCTGACCACTTCCCTGGGGAGCCTGCTCCAGTGCCCTACCACCCTCAGGGAGAGGAATCTTCTCCTAATATCCAAACTACAACCTCTCCTGACACAGCTTCAAGCCATTCCCTTGGCTCCTGTCCCTGGTCACTACAGAGAAAAGATCTGTACCTGCCCCTTTGCCTTCAGCTTGTGAGGAGGCTGTAGTCCATGATGAGGTCCCCCGACAGTCTCCAGGACCAGGCTGAACAGACCAAGTGACCTCAGCTGCTCCTCATACAGCTTCACCTCCAGCCTTTCCACCATCTTTGCCACCTTTCTTCAGACACTCTCCAGTGCTTTATATCCTTATATTGTGGTGCCCAAAACTGCGCACAGGACTCAAGGTGAGGCCACCCCAGCTCAGAGCAGAAAGGGACAATCCCCTCCCTTGCCTGGCTGGGGATGCTGTGCCTGATGCCCCACAGGACACAGTTGCCCCCCCCCGGCTGCCAGGGTACTGCTGACTCATGTTCAAATGGCCATTGATCCAGACCACCAGATCCCTTTCCATGGTGCTGCTCTCCAGCCTCTTGTTCCCCAGTTTGTACATACATACCAGGTTTTCCTATCCCAGATGGAGAATCCAGAACTTGTGTTCCTTAAACTTGATGCAGTTGGTGATTGCCCAGCCCTCTAATTTGTCTTTATCTCTGCAGGACCTCTCTGACTTCGAGGGAGTCAATGATTTCTTCCATTTTAATATCATGGGCAAACTTAAGTCTCCTTAGAGTCCTGTGCAGACACTGAAGAGCACTGACCCTGCAATGGAACCCTGAAGAACCCCTTCAGTGACAGTCACCAGCCTGATGTCACCCCATTCTCTGTGAACCTTTGCACCCAACCCATGAGCCAGTAGCTCACCCTTTGCATGACATGTTTATCCAGGTGTGTGCTGGGCATCTTGTCCAGAGGGATCCTATGAGAGACAGCATTGAAAGCTTTATTGATATAAAAAAATATTATATCAATTGGCTTACCAGCTGCTTATCCTGCCTACAGTACAGTGATATAGTGATATCACTGTGTATAGTCATTAGCATATGGAAGCATAAAATATATAAATTATAAAGATCACAGTGAATAGTGTTTGTTTTCATATTTAAAATACATAATGAAACATGACTTCCTTTCTTATTCATTCCTTTTCCTACCAAGACATAATAGCACACTGAAATCTTCAACCTATCTTCTACATTCAAGTCCAGGAGAGATATCATGATGATTCTATTTTTTTTCAACAGACTCCTTTGTTGCATCCAAAGAAATGCAATAAAACATTGCAATAACAGTTTGAGTGCCATCCCTTTAGCTTTAAAAGTGCAATGGGAACAATTATGTACACCTGTCTTAGCAGCAAGGATGAAGAAATAAATGTAGGAAACAACAGCTCCAGAGAGCTTCATCAAAGACTGGAGGCAGAAGACAGGGCTTGCAGTACCTTTTATCCCAGCCTTGACAGATGACGTCAGATTCCAGTCCCAGCAGTGACATTTCCTCACTGCTCAGACCTTGAAAACATGCGTTGGAACTACTGTGATTCAAGTGTTCATCTCTGAAATGTTTCTTTTCCTAGAACATTTCTTTGCTCATGCTGTTATGCTGGAGATTATTTACTGCATGCCTTGGCTGAGTGGATGACGATGTTTACTCTGCATAAAGCCTTTCAATATCCTCGTTCTAAGAGCAGTGCTATTTTATATGTTAAAGGCTAAGCAGCAGCATTCAGACGAAATAAAGTATCTTCCTTGTTTGAAGGATGCTGCCAGTTCTGCACAAACATGGAGAAAACTGTCATAACACAATCTATGTGCCAGAGTAAAGCTATAAAACACTTACTACAATACCTCAAAAAGCAGGAAAGACATAGTTCATAAGATAGTTGAAGAATTTTACTTGCATAAATGCAACATAGAGACCTGAATATCTTTTTACACTTAAAATGATGTGTGTTTAGCAAATAAAATTAATTTTCATTCTACTAATTCCATCCTATATAATGGCATTAATTATTTTACCTTTTATTAGGAAAGGTTTTGGCTGATGCAAGGGCTTTGTCTGCTTTGAGGAAATTATTCCCTTCCCAGTCACACTGATCAACTTTTTCACATGAACTCACAGATCTTGTCTTATAGTCTATTTCAGATACATCTGACAAAACAAATGAATAAATTAAAAAAAAAAATCTCAGACTAACAATAAACTGTCCTTGCTTAGTTTTAAAATGAAACCTGGTTTTGCAGAATTGGATTTTAGTGGGATTCTGCATCTATTCATTGTTTAATTGGATACACATTTCATTTCTGTCACTTAGAGATTAAAATATATTTGCCAGTGAGATTCAATAGAAACCAATTTTATAATCGTTCAATATTTAATCTCCAAGCAGTTGACAACTAATTGTTGTTGACATTTAATTGCATGATTTTCTAAAGATCTCTTTTGTTGAAGAGCTTGCAGAACAGGTCAGTAATATTCAGAACATGCTTCCCACGCACAGTCTTCTCAGGGTCCCAATGCTGACTCTGAAGGTGGAGACGATTCCTACCCTAGATGTTCTGGGCAATTGTGCAGTGAGAGTTTACTGCTGCTCTTTACACGTACAGCCCATACAGGCTCCTTGCTTATGACAGTGCAAAACTGTCACATGCCCATAACACACCTGCTCTGCTTGACTTATACGTAATTGTAGACAACCGAAAAAAAGTACTGATGAATTAAATTTGTATGATATACAAATTTGGATGACTTGCCTACTAAATTCTGCTGGTTGCATCTGCTGTGTCATAATGGAGAGTGGAACAACCAGAGAATGAATCTTCTGCCATCAGATGCTCCCTTCAGCCTGTGTGGAGTACCAGTGAAGCACTCTTGTGACAGTGGGCTCAATGTAGCCTTGCCATTCTGGACAAGAATAAAAAGGTTTTGGTGCCATTTGAGCTGTGGGCCATACAGTTTTCTCAGAGATGGAGGGGAAGGTTATTACCTGGAAAACATCATTCTCTGCTCTCATCAGATATTTAAGTCCCAGTTCTCTCTGGGACTTCCAGCATTATCACATGCAACTTTTTCAAGTATTTATGTATTTTTATCTACTTATCCTCCTCAGGCCTGTGCTGTACTCTGTTGCCTGGTAATGAAGACCATTTGGAATCCTGTCCAAGGGACAGTGTGGTGTGGTCAGGGACACACAGCGTTGGCCCAGGAGTAGAGTTGTCAAACCACACTTTGGAGGCTGGATTAAAGGGACTTGTCACCCTAACACTGACCTCCTGAAGCTGTGCATCTTTAGAACATCTTCTGGCATTTCCCACAGATAAATTGTGCTAAAGAGAGAACAACGTGCTTTGTCTGCTACGTTACCCTGGTGAGGAAAAGTTTTATCTGTGTGACACCAAGGACAGAGTGGTCACACAGACACACACACATTGGAGTTGGTTCTCTCCTATGGGTCAGGGACACCACACGTGCCACATCCTGGGATGCAGAGTCCTTCCCCATCCCCACAGAGCTGTGTGGGACAGACACCACAAAAAACCTCAAGCTCCAAAACCGTAAGTATTTATGGTGAACTCAGAACACAGACATTTATGTTTTGAAGAACTTGGCATTATTAGACAATGAATATCATTATGCAGTCTCTACGTCAGAATCCTACAAATTACTATTAGTACAGTACTTTGATATTATTTTTTTAGATTTATTTTTAGTTTTAATTACATGATTCTGTGTGTTGTCAGCACATTTATAACATGGAAAAACTGATCCCTCGCAGCAGGTCCTCAGCAAGAGCAGCTATAAGCTTTAGCTTTGTGTTTCAAGCAGGCCCCACAGACAGCAAAGCCGGCTCCGGGATTGACCCTACCCGAAGCTGTGCTGGATGCCCGAGCCCCGATCCCCCTCAGCGGCGCCCTGATCTTCCATGGCCGCTCCCGCCCCGATCCCCCTCAGCGGCGCCCTGATCCTCCATGGCACCTCCTGCCCCGATCCCCCTCAGCAGTGCCCTGATCCTCCATGGCCGCTCCCGCCCCTCTCATGGCCCCGCCTCACTTCGGCGCACGCGCCCGGGGGCGGCTCCCGGCGGCCGGAAGTAGCGCGCCCGGAGGCGGTGCTGCGGCCCGCGTGGCGCGGGAATGGAAGGGCCGCTGGATAACCTGGCCGTGGAGCCGGGAGGGCCGCGGGAAGTGGCAGAGCAGATGGAGAGCCCGGCCGTGGGGCCGGGAGGGCAGCGAGAGGTGGTGGAGCAGCTGGAGGACCTGGCTGTGAAGCTGGGAGGGCAGCGGGAAGTGGTGGAGGAGACGGAGTGCCTGGCTGTGGAGTCAGGAGGGCAGCGAGAGGTAGTGGAGCAGCTGGAGGACCCGGCTTTGGGGCCTGCCGGGCAGCGGGAAGTGGCGGAGCAGCTGGAGAACCAGGCCGTGGGACCGGGCGGGCAGCTGGGGAATCCGGCTTTGGGGCCGGGGGGGCAGCGGGAAGTGGTAGAGCAGATGGAGAGCCTGGTCGTGGAGCCGGACAGGCAGCAGGGGAACCTGGCCGAGGAGCCGGGCCGGCAGCGGGTAGTGCTGGAGCAGATGGAGAACTCGGTTCTGGGGCCGGGCGGGCAGCGGGAAGTGGTAGAGACCGAGTGCCTGGCTGTGGGCCCTGGCGGGCAGCGAGAGGTAGTGGAGCAGCTGGAGGACCTGGCGGTGGAATCGGGCGGGCAGAGGGAAATGATGGAGCAGATGGAGACCCTGGCCGTGGAGCTGGGAGGGCAGCGGGAAGTGGTGGAGCAACTGGAGAACCGGGCTTTGGGGCCGGGCGGGCAGCAGGAATTGGTGGAGGAGATGGAGTGCCTGGCCGTGGGACCTGACGGGCAGCGGGAAGTGGTGGAGCAGCTGGAGAACCCGGCCGTGGAGCCGGCCGGGCAGCGGGCGGCCGAGCGGGAGATGGCGCAGAGCCCTGCGGAGGGCGGCGGGGGAGCCCAGGCCCCTCTGCCCGCAGCCGTGGGACCGCGCCGCTCGCCGCCGCCCGCCTGGCCCCGCTCTCCCGCCGCCGCTGTGCTCTCGTCGGACTCGGACAGGTGTGTTCAGCCCCGGGGGTCCCCCCGAGTCGCCCCTTGCTGGCCGTGGCCTCGGGCGACTGGCGCTGTGGCTGAGCGCCCGGGAGCCCGGTGTGCCCGCCCGCCGCGTCCCTCCGCCCCGGTGTTTCACTTTCTGGAGCTTGCTCCTTCCCATCAAAGGTGAAATTTATCAGTTACATTTTTGCCGGGAATCTGTTCAATTACGTCTCCGGTACAGTGCTGTAAAGGTGTAGGATTTAACGAAAGGATGAGTTTGGTGGTTGTGGCTTGGAGAGTGTTTTCCTCGCAGAATGCACCTGCGGCTCTTGGGACGGGACACCCGCGGTGCTACTGCTGGAAAACCTCAGTGTAGGACTCAGGGTGGGGAGTCTGCGCACCGTACCACGTCCTCTGATGTTGGCATCTCAGTGGAAAAGCTCATTCTCAAGTTTTTTTTTCTTTTTTTAATGGTTCCATCTTCTACTTGCTGCATCTCTGCTTTGATGTTCAGTGTAGATGGTGAAAGGGAACTGGTTAAATGTGGGCTCTGTTGCAGTGTTAGAAGTCTGCACACTTTGGTTGTTGCAGTAAGTCTTGTGTTTTCTTATTTGGCCGGTGCAGCAGGATAGCCATGTGCTTCTTGTGACTAGAGGAGGCTAAAATGAAGTCTAAGAATCTCCTCTTAAAGGTGCAAGGCTTCATTAACAGTTAATTGATTCAAGCTTGACTTCAGAAGTACTTTTGTTGGTTCAAAGTTTTCCTCGAATATCATGAAGTGATGGAGAGTGAAATTCCTGACTTTTAGGGTCTTCACCTGTGTCTAGTGTTTTTTACTTGCAAAATCTGTTGTGCTGATGAACCCTAAAGATGAAATTTTCATAACTTGCCTGTCTTGCATGTATCTCAGTCTTTGTTTTGTTTTGTTTTTTCTTTAACTCCCTCCACGGATCAGTCTTTTAGTCTGATTTTTTTTTTTCTGCTGTATTGGTGTTCCTGTCTGTAAAGGTCTGTATTGAACCTTTTCAAAAGGTTTATTTGGAGAGGTGCTCTTATTGTCATTACTAGGATCAATTGCTCCGCATTTTTTTCTTCCACCAGCCCTTGAAGAACTTAAACTTTTGCTAAATGAACATGTTGACATGAATAAGGACTGGTTTCTTACTCCACTCTTTATTTGAAATATTAAGAGTCTAGGACAATAAACATCTCTTACACATGTGACAGTGAGAAATACTGAATTACTCTGTGAATATTTACAAGGGAATTTGGGCAGGACCTGAATTATGAAACTAATCCATTTTATTTGCAAAAATTAGATTTTTTCCCCCTTCATTGTGCGAGATGCGTTGCTTGAAATAAATATTTTCTTAACTTTCACTCAGCGTTATGCTAATGTTGGGATTTTACAAGAGTGACTGTGAGAAGGCAGTATTGTAAGTCCTATGTTTGTTTTTTTTATTCAGTGATTCAGATAGTTCATCAAGTACACTCTTCTCTTCATCTTCGTCTTCAGCAGTATCTGATGAAGATGATCATCCAAATGAGAAGGATAACAGATCTTACTGTATTAGGACAAAGGATGAGTTGCCTATTGATGTAAGTACAATGTGGTGTTTTTTAAACCCTTTCCTACTGACCCAACTAAAATTTTATGTTTTAAGTCAGTCCTCCTGTGTCAAGGTGGGGATAGAATCAGAACAGTAAAAGAGAAACTCCAAGGCTGAGCTAGACACAGTTTAGTAGGTAAAGCAAAAGCCACCAACACAAGCAAAGGAAACCCAGAAATTAAATTACCAGTTTCCATGTACAGGCAGGTGTTCGGCCATCCCCAGCAAAGCTGGCCTCCATGTGTGACTGTTGCTTGGGCACACAAACACCATCACTGGGAATGCCCCTCATTCTCCTTTTTCACCCAGCTGTGTATGCTGAGCCTGATGTTACATGGTATGGAATGTTCCTTTGGTCTGTGCAGGTCACCTGTGCTGGCTGTGCCCCTCCCAACTCCTTTTGCACCTCCTCACTGGTGGGGTGGCATGAGAGGCAGAAAAGGCCTTGGCTCTGTGTAAGCCCTGCTCAGCAATAATAAAAATATCTCTGTATTGTGAGCAATGTTTCCAGCACAGAGCCCAAACACAACCCCGTAACAGCCACTGTGAAGAAAATTGACTTTTGTGCAGTGAAACCCACCACAGTCAATAACATAGAAAGTCATGGTTTTTGGGTGTATGTATTAAGGAGTGTTAGTTAGGAACTGTTTCAGAAATCTCCTGGTTTGAAACAAGGATTGGCAGATACTGTATATAGCGTGGCAGAAGGTACTATTTTGAGATACAGGATCATATTTTACCTTCCTGCTTCTCTTTGGCCTTTGAATTCACTTTAAAAAGTGACTCAGTTGTATTAGCAGTGAACTTGATTTAAAGTTTAAATAAAAATCACTGGCTGGTAGAAGGATGTGGTGTTATTATCTGAATTCACATTTGTGTTTAATGGTACAGCATTTGGGAAAGTCTTGGCCTGTTTGATCTTTGCATTGCTCTCTAAGCCTTTGCCAAACACTTCAGTTAGAGTGAAGATTATCAGGTGAGGTGTTGATAAACCAGGATAAGGTTCTTCTGTTTGTGTGGGATTTTATTTCTAGTTGTGGTCTTTAAAAGTGCAGTTCAGTGCTAAGATTAGGGTGTTGAATTTGAAGATAATGCTTACTCTAGTTGCCTTGTATTTCATAAAGTCTTAGCTGAATTCATAGCAGCATAGTATATACATAGAAATCTTAGCTCATGGGTAAATTGGAGGTAGATGATGAACTTGGTGTAAATTAGTCTTTGATACTAGATTTTGATCCTTATATGGGCAAAAGCCTAATTTGAATATGCTGTAGTACTCATTTTTGTAGCTGAAGTTTGGCTTTTTGTATTCTCTCTGATATCTAGTACCAAATGCAACTTTCAGCTAAAAATAATTCTCTTTGTATAGGTTGTTGTTTACATCTTCTATAAGGATCCAAGTCATGATATAAATGGACATACTCCATTTTGTTAAATCAGATGATACACATCTGGTGTATTTTATGCTGTATTGCCTCTTGCTGCGTATGTTTTTCTTCCAGCATGCATTGAATGTTGTTACATGTGGTCTTATTTTTTGATTTCTGATTGTTTAATTATTGAGTTGTACATCCAGCTTGGATGAAATGCCTGTCAATTGTTGGCTTTCTCCATTTTAATAAAACTGGCTTCTGCTGTAGTTGTGATGGAAATACGTAGTGTCTCTGTAGGAGTGATTGCCTCAAAAGTGGTGGTCCCCCAAGATGAGTTCATTTAGAATGATTCTGAAAGAGACAAATCAAACTAGATTTTTAAAATATAAATCTTCAAAATGCCAGGGGATTTTTTCAAACTGTCAAATTTCTGCAGTGATAAAGTGGCAAGTGCCTTTGTGTGATATTATATGCTAAACATTGACTTGATGTTTGCAGAAATTGCCTCCTGTTGAAGACTTATCAATAATTCTTCCAGATAATGTTGAACTGAAGCTCTTTGGGACAGTTTCCAGCATCATTGAACAGCTAGGTAGGCAAGATATGTTTGCTTTGTTTTTAATTATTATAATTTCTGTATATCTCTGCATGAATTGTGTTCTTAGATGTTCCTTCAAAGTGTCAGCCCTACAGTGTCCTTTTCTGGGGGTAGCAGGCTGCTGAATTGGAATTCAAACTAACAATGATGTTTATGTTGAATTACCTTTTATTTGGCTTATATCCATGTCTTTCTGTGTGACTTTTCTGTTAAATTTTTTTTTTTATCCAAACCCCTTTTTTCCTACTTGTATTATGGTTTTTATATTGCTACTGCCCACAGTGTATTTAAGTGTTTTAAGAAAATCTTCCAGTTGTAGGTGCTATTTTGAATAGTCCCTGAATATATAGGAGCTGTATAACTAAAAGCACAGGTGCAGTGCAATGCACTCCCAAGTGCTTGCTTGTTAGTAGATGAGGACAGGAAAAAGATTTGTTTCTTCAGCAGTGCAATTTCATTTATGTATCTTTATTCATTCCACTTCTGGCACCTTGAGCAAATGAAAGCTGCCCATTGTCAGCAGTCAGAGGATGGTGTGACTAACGTGATTTATAGATGGAGGGTAAGCTTAATGGGATTGAGATACAGAATGGATGTAGGTTTAACTGCAGGCATAGAGATTTAGGGTTCTTTGCAGATCTATGTGAGACCTCAGTATTTGATAAATGAAATCAAAGTTTTGCTGAAGCTCATATTACTAAAACATCCACAGTATGTTTGTATTTAAGCTATTTCAAGTGTACATTCTGCTTGAACTGCATTCCAAGCAGTTTGCTTATGAAAATTAGAAATTAAGTTCAATTTTGAAGTTAAAGTATTTAGGCTGAATGCAGTACAAAAGAAAGTATGCAACTTTTGATACTAATTTTTCTTTTAGAAGACTTCAGGTAATACAGGCAATTCCTTTGCATTATTTTATTGTAGTGAGATTTAATTTCATTTATTTGCAGGAAGCTGGGAGGAGGGTGTGGAAGATAGGGCAAAGTGGAAAAGAACCAGATTACTTTCTTGCTTATTGATATTAATGGGGACTTCAAGAAGGCTGCCTTCAGCTAAAATGGTAGTTTTAAAACAAGTTTTAAAAACAAGTTGAATCATACTTGCTCTTATTCTTACTTTTGGTTTAAAATGTAAAACTATAAACAAAACTGTTTTAAAGACTGCAGTTTTGAAAACCATCCTTAATTCTAATCCTCAGAATATAATGTTATATAAATATAAGGTGAGTATAATGTTTTCAAATACCATTTACTGGTAGGTGAATTCTTCGTGCTGCATCCTACTTTAAGTAATGTACATGTATAAAAGTGTTGAATTAGATTTGTTAGTGAAAGTTTGAAAACAAGCTAATAATCATAATGAAATGAAACTATATGAATGGTGTAAACCCCCAGGACACCTGTGATTATTTTCTTGATTTAACTACCTTGCTTTATGAATTTTCTTTCTCTTTGCATTTTAGTTTCTTTCCAGCTCTTCTGAAAACGGGCATCAGTTTCAGTTGATTTGTGGCTATATTAGGGATGTCAGCTAATTTGGGATATTTTTTTTTTTATTTTTGAACTAAATTGCTACCTCTGTATGCCAGGTTTGTGTCTAGTCTGAGGGGAGTTGATTTCTCTTTTGAAAGCTACCAATATTATTCTGACACAACAGTCAGTACTCTTTTTCTGTCCCTTTGGTGTCCCTCAGAATGTCTGCTGTTCTCTGTAGCAAGCTTCCAAGTTCATCAGTGTGCAGTGAATGAGTGACACTTGTAAGTGGATGTTTCATCCTGTGAGGTACATTTGAGGCTAGAACAGTGTAGGTTCATGCTTGCTGTGCAGTAGCTAAAAGCAAAATGACAGTACTTTCTCTGAACTTCTGTGCAGTGTATCAGAATTTAACAAAACTTGTGCTGTGTTTTGCTTCAAGGTACTTAAAGAGAAGAGAAGAGAAAAAATCCCTGTGTGGGTTGGGACCTGGAAAGTAAACAGCTTTTGTGTACATGAGAAACTTTCCCTGGAGCTGTACTTTGGGCCCTGCAAGAGTAGAAGCTGATAATTTAGGATGGGTTGGGGTAGGGGAAGCTGTAAGTCCAATAGGCTGGAGGTGGTAATGTTTCTCCTGTTTCATGGGACTAGGGCACTGTACATTTTCAGAGTATATTTTCCTCAGCTTACTGCAGGCTGGGAGCTGCATGTGGTGAATCAAGTAGAGAACATTATCTGAGAGGTTTTGATGTGCTGTTTTTGTGTATTTTGTGTAGGATTTTTTTTTGTGCAGATGTTTGGGGATTTTTGTCTTTTTTTTTGCTAAGGTATATTTCTCATGAGGCTTAAACAACACATTGGGTATTTTCACTGTATATTTTATCTTAAAGGTAGGCACAAAAGAAATTGATTTCACAAATTCTTTTGAAATTCAATGAACTATTAAGCTGGTGGAATTGTCATTTCCTTGTTTGGCATGTTAAGTTTTTTGCAGATTGCAATAGTAGCAATAACTTTTAGTTTGGTGATATGTTGATTGCTGAAAGTCCTTTTATGTAAATTTAGGAGTGATGATCTTGAGCTTTTCTTGGAGTGACACTGTGTATTTGAGTGACTATTTGCTGATGGACAGTCATTGAAAAAGCTTAACTGGGCATTCTGTTATTTTATAGGTAGAGAAGTTCAATCATCATTAGGCACAAATATTGTATGAGACGTCTATGGCATTAAATTGCAGAATGTCTAACAGATTGGGTATAAGCATTTATAAACACCATCAGTTGCTACTGTAACTGAACTGCCAGAAAGCTTTTGTGTTCTGGTGTGATTCTTAGGACTCTCTTTACCACAGAGAACAATAATTCTGTAAGCAATATAAGCATTGGAGAAGGGGTATGTGATTCTAAGTACTTTTACACGTGTGAAAGAATATTTGATTGCAGCTCTACAAACTGAAGTAGACAAGTAGAGGTGTGGTTTGTTAAGTTTTACTGCAGTTAACTACTTGCTGTTGAAACATAAAGTTCTAATTTATTTTTTTATTTCTGTTTTAGTAATAATTGAATCACTGAAAGGCCTGCCTCCAGTAAATGAGGAAAGCATAATTTTTAAAGAAGATCGGCAAGCGGTAGGAAAGGTGGGTGTAAAATAAAAACTTGTTATTCTAATCTAAAATTGGAAGTATGCTTTAGTGCTCCAGAAGGTAGAGTTGAAGTCTACTAAATGAAAGAGAATGCTTCCTTGATATATAGTTTCTCTCTGTGCCTTTGACTCTTGCTATATTCATCTGTTTATTTAATCTCAAGAGTTCCTAACCTGAAATTAATTGGATCCTTGCAGAATTACAGTATCTGGTGAGTTTCCAGTGTTTCAGAGGGCTTGTGGAGAGGAAGACATAGTTTTCAGATGTATGATATCTTGAAATAACTGGCTGTGTGCTCTTTCACTGACAGATAGGTGCAGTGGTTAGAGCGAAGTTTTATGAAAAATGGGGAATGTTTTCTTCTATACTGTGTTGTTCTGATTTAAGGCCAGTGAAGAATGTTTGCTGAAAGGGTTGTTGTACTGAATTTTCCGTTTTTGTAGAAGGAAAGCCATCATCCACAATGGTTACTACTGAAATATCTCTAAATGCTAGATGTGAGTGGAGCAAACAGTGCAGATGTTCTGTAAAATATGGCAGAACTCTCAGCTCTCTGTGGAATTGGGGAACAAGCAGTAACTTGTGTTGTAAAGGCATCTTGTTAAAGTGAACTTGGAGGAAAAAATGATCAGGAGATTGTTCCAAGCGTTACAAGACTTGAAAGCATAGCAGACACAAAAAACCAGAGATTTGACAAAAGGAAGGATTACTGAGGATGTGAGAACTTACTGTTCCACATCATAAAAAACAGTAGTTTGGGAAATACACTGTCAAACAAAATTCGGTAATAAAAAGAGTCTGAAAGGAACTTCTGTTTGATGCTGCATTTTGGAAATACATTGGACTTCTTAAATATCAGTCTACAATGAAATTAGCTACTACTAATCTACTTGTAGTTTACTTAAACATTTTAATTTCATTTCTTTCAGATATTTGAGGTATTTGGTCCTGTTTCACATCCTTTTTATGTGATAAGATTTAACAGCTCTGAGCATATCAAAGAGAAAGGTATTAATGTGCAAGATAGCATGTATTTTGCTCCATCAGTAGAGGACTTCACCCAGTATATATTTGCAGAAAAACTAAAACAGTGAGTCTGATTTATTTTCTAATCTGATTATAATTTTTTTATATAGCTAAAACTGTTGCATTAAAGTTGAGTCTTCAGTGAGAAACTCTAGTACTAAGCTTAACACTTCATATTTCCTTGAGGTATTCTCAACTATGTTGTAATAACAAGACTGTACTATTTTGCCTTTTGAGAACAATGAAGAGTAGCTGTAAACTGCAAGCCTTTGAATGCTGTAATTACTAAAGTTTAGCTTATTCTACTTAAAATACTAAGCTTGCTTTCTTTTTATGCTGCTGTTTACTAATACCACAACCAGAAGAGACATTAATACTTCCTCCATACCCTGGCACACATATTCATGAGTATAAAAGAGTTTTTCAAGATGAATTTTCCACATTTTCTTGTTCTTTAGATTCCTGTATAGTTTCAGAACTGATAATAAACTCGTTTGTGTTCTGAACAAGTTTGTATTAATTTACTATTTTTAGTTCATATTATAAGGCTGGAATTGAAATGTAATTATCAATAAATCTATTGATAATGTAATTATCAATGAATCTATCTGTCCTCACAATTGGAGAATAACAATTCTAGATTAAAATTGCCCTCTAAATTTGCAAGAGAGAAGGGGTTTGAGTGACAATGTAATATGATGTTCAGAAACTTCTCAGCAGTGTTTGTGTATCCCAGTCTGCCTGAGGAAAGTAGCATGCTTAAATAAGACTTGATGCCATTTAGAGGAGCGTGTATTCAAAGATACAGACTAAAAAATAAAACATAATAAATGATAGTTAGCGATTAATGTTGTAATTATTGATGAGCAATCATCTGAAATAACTATAGGTTAGCTATCTTTTGTCATACAAGTGACTTGGTTTCTGTTTATTAGAATGAGTTCTCAGGGGTTGGTTAATTGTTTGCATTCATTACAGCTGTGCCAGTATTCATACTGAATAGTTCTTTTCTTTAGTCAGACCTGCAGGAGTCTTTTTTTTCTTAACTTCCTCATTTCTGTGCAAGCAACAAGCATATTTTCTTCCCTTCAGTGAGGACCAAAATAGATAACTTTCTTCCTCTCATGCTTGTTTGTTTTTCTGCAGCATTTTGATGCCAGCTGTCTTTGATTTGCGCCATTAAACTTTGCTGCTTAGCACAGTAAAGTGCACAGACTCTAATCATCTGCTTGCTGCATCAGTAACCATGTGCTGTACTCAGCATCTGAGATGGGAGACTTGTGTTTTGCTTGGTTTCATGCTTTGGAAATAGTTTGGGAAACCATTTTTCATTTGGTGGTACTTCATTGTCATAGGTGATAAAAGCCTGAAACCTGGGTAAGATACTTGAGACTTCCATGGCTTACCAGCACAGCTGAACAGTGCTTCAGACATTGTTTCTTGTCTTGACTAGCATGAGTAGTGTGACTTAAGTTACAGTACACTCAAACAATAGTTTATTTCTGGATTTTGTCAGTCCAATTACTTAAGCTTGTGTGAAGCATTTGGTTCTATTGACTGAAGCTGCCTTTTCATGAAATAGAAATCCTTCATCCATTTTTAATGAAAACTGATGTCTGAATTGTGCTGTAATGCTGTATGAAGACACTTCAATGCTATGAGAATGTGACATGAATAGTAGAAAAGTCAAGCTTTGGTCAGTGATCCACTAAAAGACTTTTTCACCTTAGTAGATGGCAAGTTTGATAATCAATGATTTTTATTTTCTGCTTTTTCTTAGTTTGACTGTGTGCAGACCAGATTGTGGAGTATTACAGGCTTAAAGTTTCAAAACTGATGGTTCTTTGAAAAGGAAAGGAATCAAGATTAAGATCTGAAAGAAACACTGAGTTTTAAGCTTTTTCTGAAATCTGAAATTGTACAAACTTGCAGTGCTATGAATAAGCCTTACACTTCACAGCAAAATAAGTGAAAGTGTAGTAAAACTTTCTGAATGCGAAATAATTTGTTGCTAAAGATAGGCTTGTGTTATATTGCCTGAAACCCAGTTCTAAAAAAGCTCATGTATTTTCATGATTCCTCTGAATTACCTTTTGTTAGACTTCAAGGTCTTACAGTATACAACTTCACAAGTCAAAAGAATTACTATATTGTTCTTTGCAGAAGATCTTAAATACCTTGGGGCATGAAAAGCAGTTTTTGTTTGCTGAAATGAGGAAGGCTGCTTTGGGACAGTGAGATAAGCTGCCTGACCTTGAATGGTTTAAAGTTTGCAGTCAGTGATGTTACATATTCCTGAATGACCGTAGGTCTTGGCAGTTCCTGTGAGCTCTGCTATTTCTGGCAGGCATGTGTTGCTCAAAAATAACAAGATGAAAGGAAGAAGCAGTTCAGTTCATATTAATAAAGTAACTTTTCTGCAGCTGAGAAATACCTTTAGTATAGAGTCCTTATGTTCCTCCCTGTAATGTCTTCTTCTAATTGAAGTTTAAAATATCTTCCTTGCCTTCCTTTTTACTCATAATCTCAAAAGGACATATAGAGGTTGAACTTCAGTTTTGTAGTTGGGGATTGAGGCACAAGGTACCTCCAGATGACTTGCCAGTGCTCTCATGGGTGTGGCTAAGCACCTCTGAAGTACAGGCTGTTGATGCCAATGGTTATGTAGTTTTTTGTAGTTACTGCTACTTGATTGTTGCTGACTTGATGGATACATAAAAAACTCTTTGTTATAAGAGCAGTGACTGAAGGCATTTTGCACTGAACACTGAGATGTTCAGGTTTTAGCTGTGTGGTTCTGTTTTTCAAGTAAAAATTTTCAGTACTGCACTGTTTTATACAGTTTTTCTGCAAAGATAAGGATTGTACCTTGATATTTCAGACCAAAACACGTAATATTTAAGAGCAGCATGGAAAAAAACCTAGACTACAGAGAATGTAATTTAAATATGTTTCACAAATTCTTTGCTAATCAAAGAAATTACTTGATCTTTAGTGAAGGACTTTGCAGTGGGTTAAAAAAATTAGACTAATCCAAATTTATTTGGTGTTTGTCAGGCAAGACAATTGAGTTTTTGAGTCTTTAAATGCCTTTTGCCTTGCAATTTAATTTTATGTTTACAAAAAAATGAAAGGTGAAACCTAGTTGTCTAGATAACACAGTCTTAATAAGATTGTAAGGCAAGCACTGAGGGTCTTTTGGTTCTGAATTTACTTTGCTGTAGTTATACTGAAAGCCTGTGTCCCACTGAATGAGTTCATGTGACTACTGAATGAGTAGGTTCTTTTTAACTAAAGGTACATTTTCTGAAACTAGAAGAAAAGAATGCTTGTGATTGTTGTCAACAGTTAGCATAAGAAAGTTGCAGTGAACTACCTCAGTTCAGGTTTAAAGCAATTAAGGTTCTAAAGGATTTGTTTAGAGAATATGGTCTAAAATTTAGTGTTAGGATGTTTGACTGAAATGTTCAGTCATCACTTGAAGTAGGAGGACTTTTCAAGAGTAGTGAAGCCCTGAGTTGACCTAGATGTTGCTGTTTGCTCACAAACAATATTGAAAACTAAGTAACTCTTTGAGAAGAGGAAGCTCCTGTTCTTGGAGACCTGATACCTTATAGGAGGTGCTAGCCTTTGTCTATCTGGATTGTCTAATTTGTGTTTTGTGGTTTTTTTTTTCTTCTTTCAGGGAAAAAGGTTCAGATGCATCTTGGAAGAATGACCAAGAACCACCACCTGAAGTAACTATAGAGGGGTTTTGTTTTTTTTGTTGATTGTTTTTACACAAGTCATATGTGGAAAATATTCTGTGCAGAGCAAGTAATTAACAAGGTTATCTTTTTATGGAGGCAAAACTTGAATGTACCTCTCCATTGAAAGAGAGGGTCTCATAACGAGTGTAGAGAGTACTACCTGTCTCTCTGCTTGCTTTTTGCAGTCGGCAAAAATGTGTATCTTCAGATCCTCTAGTCCTTCAAGAATGTATTTGACAGCCTGAATGTTTAGCTTTGTGTAGCAGTGCTTTTACTTTCCCTAATAATTTTGCTTCTGCTAGGGATTTTTTTTCCATGCTATTCTTTCACTGCAGCTTTGTCTTCAATCGGCCATAAGCAATTGCTTGTCTTTAAAGGCTTACTAGTACTCTGCAAACTTACTACTTGGACATTTGAGCTGTCTGGTCTTCAAAATTAATTTGACATCTCTGTTGCATTCTTTAAATGCTTCATAGTAAGCTTACCCTACAGTTTGCTGTTTATAAAATAAAGTTCCATGAGAGAAGATGGGCTTCTTCCATAAAATGGCTGTCATACAGGGTCATGCAGAATTAGGAGCTCCTTGTGGCCATTGACTTCATTTGCTCTAGGATCTGTAAATAGTTCTTCAGTGACTTTCTGTTAGTGGTCCTTAACTCCACTCTAGCTACACATTCTGTGAAAATTCAATAAGAATCACAAGGCTGATAGTTTTACTGAGTTGTTTTACATGACAACAGTTGAGTCACTTTTCCTTGCAATTTCTACTTTACTTTAAACATACACAAAGTAACTGAAATTCCTAGAAGCCTTGTGTCTACCATAGTGTTCTAAAGAGATCTGTCTGCTTGTTTTGAATCTTCCAGATGTTTGCCTTTTTAGCATAATTCTGTGGTATGTAATATATGCTTCTCACTCCATAATTTGGTAGGAAAGGTGTGTTTTGTGGGATTTGGGGTTTTTTTGGTAGGGGGTAATGGTATTTGTTTGATTTTGTTTCTCCAGTGTTCTAACTGATTTTTAGGATGGAATGGAATAGACTATTACAGTTGGAAGGAACCTACAGCTGTCAGGGCTGACAAGGGCTGAAGCATAAGCTGAAGTGTGTTGTGAAAAGCATTATCCAAGTGCCTCTTAAATACTGAGAGGCTTAGGGTGTCAGCCACCTCTTTTACAAGTCTCTTGACTACTTGCAGTGTTTGACGACCCTCTCAGTAAAAAATTTCTTTGTTATTTCCAGTCTGAACCTCCCTGGTACAGCTTTGGACCTTCCTACTCATCCTATTACTGCATACCAGGTAGAAGAGATTAGCACCTCTCTCTCCCCTTCCTCAGGGAGCTGTAGAGAGCAATGAGGTTGCCTCTCAGCCTCCTTACCGCCAAATGAGGCAAGTCCAGGGTTCTTAGCTGGTCTCTGCAGGACATGCCTTCCGGTGCTGTCACCAGCTTGGTTTCCTTCCTCTGGATGCAACCAAGGACTTTGACATTACTGCTGTGTGGGGCCCAGAACTGCGGACACCACTCAGGGTGAGGCCCCCCAAGGCTGGATGCAGTGGGACAGTCACCTCTGCTGGTTGTCTGCTCTTGCTGTGCTTGATGCTCCCCAGGATGGGGTTTTGCCCTCTGGGTTCCAGGGCACACCCTGCTGACCCTCTCTGAGCTGCTGCTGACCAGCACCCCAGATCCCTCTTGGCAGGGCTGCTCTCCAGACACTCCTCTCCCAATTTACACTTGAGCCTGGTGTTACTTCATTGTAGGTGTGCAGTGTTTGGACTGATTAGATTTCATCCCATTAATTATTGCCCAGGGCCTCAATCCACCTAGATCCTTCTGCAAGGCTTCCTGTCCCTCAGGAGAGTCAATGACAGTTTGGTATCAGCAGACTTGATCATGCAGTTTCTAAATACTGTGTCCACATAGATAAATATGTTAAACAAAACTGGCCCTGGAGCTGAGCCTTGAGGAACTCCGGCCTTCAGGCACTTCTTCACCCATTGCACCATGAACCTGCTCATCCACCGCTGGACAGTTTGTCCAGAAGGATGCTGTTAGGGACTGTGTTAAATTTTTCACTCACAGTCCTTATCCCAGGATGGTTGTTCTGGCTTGAAGGAGAGATGTTGTGACATGATCTTTTCTGGGCTCAAAGATGGGTCCTGTAAGGATGTATCAGTCTGTCAACTTGGAATGTTGCTTTTTCTACAGTAGTGAATAAGGATGATGCATTTTGAAATACAGTTTTTTGTTTCCTGTAAATGAAACAGAGCTGTGTAGTGCTAACTTCTCTCAAAGAATGCTTGTCTGTCAGTTCTGGCTGTAAATTGCCTTCCTTTCTTGTACAGACATAATCTCACAGAGAATCATAATCTGAGAAATACAAGTGTTGTATAAGAATTGGACTGTAGATATGTTATCCATAGAGCTTTGAAAAGCAATACTTAGGGAAATCTGTCTTAACTTGCTTTCATTCAGGAGTTTTCTTGTGGTGATGATATCAGATGGGCTTATTGGCTAGTTTTGAGCTCTTCTGTTTTTCATGCTTTAAAAGCTGTTCGGGAGATAAGCTTGTAGATGTGTCATTTGAGTTTGTAGGAGCCCATGAAATTTTATTGGCCAAGTACAGTTAGTCAAATCTGCAGATACAGATTCATTGCCTTTTCCAAAGTTTGTTTTTTTTCTTATAGATTTTTCTCAATTTAAATTTGTTGTACTTCACTATAGGAACGAACAAAGGAAGCTTGAAAAAAAAAGTCAGTGATGACAAGGGTGGGCACTCTTCTGACTGTGTGCTCTGTTTGGGAAAAAAACCACATCTAACATCTTGTAACCCTCAATTAGAATAATCTTTGGTTAGTTCTAGCAGTTACAGTTTATACCATGCTATCCCAAGCTGTGACAGCTGATTAGCTGATAGAAGGTAGCTTTTGCTGTGAAGGTAATAGCTGCTGATAGGGGTGCAGATCAAATTTTATGCTACTCATGCTTGAAATTGTCTCTTAGGGGCAGACCCTTTTAGAGACCTCAGATTGCAGCCTGCAATCTGATTTCTTGCCAGCCCCTGTAGTAATCTGTGTGCAATTGTTGGAGTCACTTCTTTTTGTGATAGTGTGAAGCTTTGTTATTGTATGAATGTTAAATTAATCCATGGTAGGCTTTTCTTACTTGCTACTTTTAGTTATATGGTAAACATTCCTTTTTGGTAGGTGTGACGGTGGTCACAAGGGTTGCAGGTGAAGAGAGAGGCGAGAATGTTGATCTCATATTCAGAAGGCTTGATTTATTATTTTATAATATATATTACATTATGACTATACTAAAAGGAATAGAAGGAAAAGTTGTCAGAAGGCTAGCTAAGCTAAGAATAGAAAAGAATGAATAACAAAGTTCTGTGTCCCGGCAGAGAGCAAGAGCAGCTCTGCTGTGAGGGGTCAGTAAATCCAAACATCCACAGGAGACCAATCACGGATCCACCTGTTGCATTCCACAGCAGCGGATAACCATTGTTTTACATTTTGTTGCTGAGGCCACAGCTTCTCAGAAGGGAGAAAAATTCTAAAGAAAGGATTTTTATGAAAAGATGTCTGTGACAGGCAGTCTCTTAACTAGCCCAGCTTATTTGCAGAGTCACTTATACAATCTGTCCTAGCTTTGTCTTCGGAGTCAGAGGGTCACAAAATGTGGTCTGTATGCTGCAAGGCTAGCAGCAGCAGATAACCATAGTTTTTCTGTGGAGTGACTTCTGTGGGATGTTACATGGAAATTAAATAGCAGTAAAAGGTGTCCATTATTTGCTTAAATAATTTGAGCATAATATAATGTTCAAATTGCTGTTCATTGTTTCTGCACTACTGGAGTATAGTGTACTGGAGTTCTTAGAAAAAACAGGAGTTAGTGAAAGATTTTACTTCATGGTATACATCATCTTGCTGTAGTTCTTACAGCTTTTTTGAATGTCATAGAGTTATGCAGTAGAAGAAATAGTTGTATTCAAAATTAACTTTATGAGGCTTTTTAAGCACTGTTTTGGTGCATTGTTTTTGAGATCCATGCTCTGTGTATATGGTAGAAGTAAGCAGCATAGCCCCTACTTTCAGAATTGGGAAGGGGGGTTAGGAACAAATCTTACCCCTTTTAAGTTGTAAGAGTGAGCTGTTTTTGAGGGAACTAATTAATGCTGAAGATTTCTTCCCTGTCCCTGATAACTTATCCTCAGTCATGTAAGTTAGGATTCAAAAAGTAGCAAAACCTTGTGTAACAAGGAGAAAATGTTGCAGGGACGTTGAATCTGTTGTAAATGACAACATTCCTCAAAGCTGAAAATTTCTTTGGAATAGCATTGCTATTTGAAATTGAACAGGAAGTGTTATTAAATATACTGCAGAAAATTCCAGTGTAGTGACAGTTTTAGAGAAGAGATTTTTTAATGTAGTTTTAATGCTGAATTATGTATTACTTGCCGAAGTAATTTTTATTTATTTTAAAAATTCATTTTTTAATTCATCTTATCTGCAGTTAATCTTTGAAAGCTTTTTCCTGGCAGCTTCTTTTCAGCCAGCTCCCTTTCTTTTCTTACTAACATCTAGGCAATCAAACATTTGTGTTCAGCACTGGAATGTTGCTCTTTTCAGGAAAATTAGAAAGGATAACTGAGTCATGCATCAATTGTGTTATGACTCATTTTTGGAGTGGTAACTTTTTTCTTATGCGGAGAAGCTAGCTGAGTTTTTTTTTTTTTTTTTTTTACTAGGTTTTGGATTTCAGTGATGATGAAGAAGAAAGAGAGGCAAAACAGAAGAAAAAGAAACCTCAAAGTCAAGGAAGGAAGAAAGTCCGATCAGAAACATTTCCACCAAGTGAGTGAATGCTTTTGTCTGTTAATCTAAGTTTGAAATGCCCATTTATAACTGTCTTAGTGATTGAGTTTTTCTATAGTTAACAGTTTTTGTACTTTTTTAACTTACATTTGAGTTTGTGACTACATTCCATGTTTATTATTTTAGAACTAAAATGAAGTTTTATTCTGTTGAAATGGAAACCCTATGGAAGGGAGGTGGTATAGCAGCAGAGCAATTGTCAGGGGAAAGTGAAAGGCTCTTAGAACACTGTTGGTTGACACACAGTGAGGATTCTGAACAGTTGCCACCATTTGGTTGAGGTTCAGCTAAAGCCTTTGAGTGCTGGGAGAAGACAGAGGAAGGCTGTGTGCAGTTTTTGGAAATCCACTTCTTTGCAATCAAGGGAGGAGATACAGGTCTTGGATGGAGAATTTACTCCTCTGTCTAAAATGAAGCTCTTCCTCACCCATGACATACAGATACTCTTCTCAATAACTCTTACTTTTGTAACCTGCTGAGAACCTTTCTGTTTACCTAATGCAGTCATTTGATGAGCAAAGCTGTGTAGAGATTTTCATAATCTGAATAGCCTTCTTTACTCTCCTTTCTCCTGCTGTTGTTGTATCTGTTCCAGGTGCGTGCTTGCAGCTGTGCTCTGTTTACCATAATCAAATTTTCTCGTCTCTCATGCCTCTCCTGAAAAAACTGTGATTTTTTTGATTGCCATTTTGGTTGAATAATTCATATTGCATTCCTCTTTTTCTGCTCTCACTGGTCTGCTTTGGGTGCATGCTTTTTATACCTATTCTTTTGAATATGGCTCTCATCCCTTACCCTCTTGTACTGCTTACTTACCAGATTGCTTCAGCTATCTGCAGCATGGTTCTTCCCCCATTGAATTTCTCAGACTCCTGTGACTTTTCTGCTCTTCCTTTGTAAAGCTAATATGCATTGTGCCCTGCTGAAACCCTTTTCTCTGGGAGATCAGTAGCTGTCCTTTAATACTTTTTGTGCAGTACAATCCTCCCTTGTATCAATCAAATAAAGCCACAATCTTTCTTGGACTGGCTTTTGTCCTATGGTTTTGACAGGTTTTTTTTTCCCCTTAAGAGATGGATCTGAATTGTGCTGCACTCTCTCTTCATTACTGATGGTTAATTTTTCTGTTAATCCAGCATATGTGTGTTTTCCACCACATCCTTGGTCTGCCAGTTTATTGCAGACCTGCCTTTGCCTTGGGCTTCTTGAGGCTGTAACTGGATGTTACTGTTCCTATGGCTGTTCCATAACTGAGAACACAGCAGGAGGAACTGCTGCACTCTTGTCAAGGAAGACAGGTTTTGATTTGCTGTGGGTTTTTGGTAAATAATATGGCACAGATTGAAGTTGTGTGCAATTTGTTTTGACTGTAGAATTCAACAGCAATGATATGTCACAAATTGAGGCATAAAGTTGGTCTCAGATGAAGACTTACATGAGTATATTAAAATTGTCTCTTGTTAGAGTACTTGAGGAAAGAAAAAAATACTTATTCAAGTACTTCAGTGCTTCCAAGAGGCCTGCGTGTACAAAAGGAATCTTAACTCCTAATCTCCCATGAAAATGAGTAGAAGTTCTGGTATACAACTACCTTTCCAGACTAAAAAACATTTTCACCTTTGAAAAGCTATGTAGTCTAGTACCAAGGATGAGGTTCACACAGGCTTTTAAATTTCAGTGATTTTATGTGCTATTATATTCCTGAATACCTTGTTGCTCCCAGCCATAAAATCCTTCTAAGGGTTTAAGTTCTGCAGCTTTTTGAATATCTTAACAGCTCTTTGGAACATTTTTAGTATTTCAGTGCTTTTCATTTTATAGTCCTAATCCCATTAAAATTTCTGTGATATTTATATAAAGGGGCAGTATATTTGTTATGAACATTAAATGTATGTTTAGAGTGAGTTGTGCAAGGAAGAATTTGTCTTAAATGGATGAATGCTGAAAGCTGATTGGCTAGAGGATAGAGACTGTGGTTTTTCTGATAGACTAAGTTAATTTTAGTAATGTGAGTTTGAATAATTTCTTGTGTCTTGTGTCTATGCTGTAATACCAAATTGGGACTGAAGGCTGGATACCCTTTCAGTGTAATGCAGTGTTGATTTATCTTTAGTTTTAAAATGTGTTGTTCTAAAATCTTGTTTTAAAAGCTTCCAAAATACTCAAAATTTGCATGTTCCTGAGATCCATTTATACAAATGAAAGGTCTGCAGGGAAAGAAGATGAAATTTCTTTTTTAAAGTCTGAGTTTGCAACTCTCAGGATCATCCTATTGATATTACTTCTATCAATCAAGATTAGTTACTAAGCAGTAGATTTGCTGCTGTTATTTTATTCTTCATGTATTAGTTGCCAGTATTACTTGTTGATAAGATTGCTTTACAAATTTAATTCACTTCAGCTTGAAAGATTTGTGAAGACTAAGCCTGATCTTTCCAAAATAATATTACAGCTGTGTGTGAGGGGGTTCTTATATTTGTTTTATTCTTTAGGTGAGAATAAAGAACTTCATCACTCAGTGAAGCAGCCTGCTTCAAGTTACTCAAGGGGGTACCGTGGCCGAGGGTTCTCCAGGGATCTGTTTGCTCCTCCATCAGGCCCTCGAGGGTTTTTCAGACCACAAGTAAGACCACCACCACTGTACTTCTCAGACTGGAGGATGCACCAGGAACCACCAGTGTTCCCACCACCTCATGGGAGAGAAAATCCAACCATGCAACAGTATGGCTTTCCTCCTCCAGATTTTGGTTATGTCAGTGATTGGCATCAATTCCCACCTCCGCCTCCAAATACGAACATGATGTGGACAGGCCCAAACGCGTACAATTCATCCTACTCGTTTCTGCCGCCACCGCCGCCACCACCACCACCACCTCCTGCTCCAGACAGCCATCCTCCTCAGTTCAGGCCTTAATGAGATTCCATACAGGTCCATGTGGAGCATTGCAGTTTACAGGGAGAAAGAACAGCCTGCCAGGACTGCATTCCCTTGTTCTGGAGATGCTTTTTTTTTACTGCTGCGGTAGAGCAAATGCAGAGTTTTGTGTTTTGTGGGACATCTGCAGGAAATTATTTTTTTCTGTGTATGTTTTCTGTTTCCAAAAAGAAATTTATATGTTAAAAATAACTGAATATTGAATAATAGTTTATTTTTATATCTGCTACTTTAAGATGATAAATAAAAGCCTTTTGGAGATTGGTATGTAGTGATGGAAATCCATTTTGTAATAAATGTAAGAGTTTATGTAACTACTGTTAAGTAGTGATGAGGGCATCTCACATAGACAATATTATATTTTTAGAATAATGGTGTATTGCTGTGCTAAAACATGCTTCTCAATTTCTGCAAATTTGAAACTTACGTGGGAACTGAAAATCTGACATCTAAATTTTGAGGTAGGTTTTTTTCCTATATGCAAGGCATAAACCACTACTCAGCTTTCAGTACTTTACTAATTTCATGTTAACTAAAAGACTGTGTCTGGATGGTTCTTTCTAAAAAATATCTGTAGTACCTAGATCTGAATTGGGACCAGTGCTGACTTGCTGTGTCACATTTGGTGTTCTCCAATGGTTGTAGAAGATCATCCTATTCATGGGTTTTGGATTTAATTTAGAATCTAAAATCAGCATGATTTCTCTAGCTTCTCTAGCTCCTAATGCAGAGGTGATCATACTTACTAGAGTGTGCAGCCAGCCTTTCTAGGAAGAAGTCATCAGGTCTGTTGGAGAGAAGGCCATTTCAGAACTCCCTTGTTTAAATTTGTAAGTGCAGATGGCACTAGATTGCTGTTTGATTACAGTCTAAGCTGTCTCTTCTGAAATTATGAGGTTCATCAATTCTCCCAGCTTGTTTCTGGGATGGAGGTGAAGTTATCAACCAAGGATCACATGGAAGAACCTCCACCTGTCCAAAGAGTTGGTCCCCCAATTGCACTTCCCTAGTTTCTATGGAAGTGACTCTGCCTGGCTAGGTTGGAAGGCTTACAATGCATCAATATTTTTTAAACAGGAGAAAAAGTACTTTTGGGACAGTCATCTTAAGGATTATTTTTCAACTGAAGTCATTACTAGCTGTGATGATTTCTGAATGTTTACCAGTACAGTCGCCTTGACCTGATAAAAGTGTGCAGTATGTATTTCTAGTCTCAGATTTGTTTTGACCTGATTGCTTTAAATATGTACAGTCTTAGTAAGCTGTTAATTCCTAATAGCTTTAAGAATGAAGTAAAATTTTAATGCAGAGAGGAAAGGACCCCCTTGTCTAAGATGATGCAACTCAGAACTAGAATGTAATTTCAGACTTGAAAGTTGGCTATAATATATTTAAGTAACAATATTTTTTGTTATATCTAGAACTACTGTTTGCAGATGTACTGGGTTTGCAGCTGAGAAGGTTGTATAGATGTCAGTTTATGGCAAGCTAAGGTTAAGGTAGTCTACAGTGGCAACAAATAGTTTCAGAAGAGCAGCATTCCAGACATTTGTGTTTAACTTGGTTCCTGCAGATAAACTTCTTGTAGTAAAAAGAATGCCATGTTCTAGTTCATTGTAAATGTTTCAGGGGAACGGAGAAGGGGCTGCATTTCTGGCTATTTCAGCAGTAACCTGGATATGACCATTCTCACTGATAAGGGATGGTACAATGATAGAGATGTTACAAGTGAAGTATCAAACATAAAAGCATTTTCAAGTCAATTATGTAGTAAAGGGGAAGAAATTGTCAACATCACACTTGGACTTCGGGTGCTAATGGCTTGCTGCATGTTCCTGGCATAGACATCATCAGCCAAAGTGGCAGTTGAAGAGTTAACAACAAGAACTGGAGTGAGGTACTAGGAGGTGCAGGTACAACAGTCTTAATTATTACTACTATTAAAACTATAGGGTTTTTTTATGTATAGTAATGTTCACCTTTTTCTGCAATAATTAGATCTGTACTAATAATTCCTTGAATTAGGCTGTTAAGATTTCTCTTAAATGAAGATGTGTTCTCCTTCCTCATAACTATTTTTGCATGTGGCAAACCCAATATAAAGCTGGTTTACAGAATGTAGTTTGACAAATATGCTGCAATCTAAGGTGTTTTACTAATTCTTGGTTGTTAACTGCCATGCTGGTTTTGTGTGGACTTGCCTGTTTGCTAGGCTTTGGGCTGTGATTGGTCAAATGCAAGTATTTTCTAGTGGATAAAGTAGAAGAAATAATAATATTTTCTAGTAATTGAAAAATCTCTGTATTTCTGACTCCTGTTGTCCTCACATTGGGCCTGGAAAGCTACAATAGAGCTCTGTCACTTCTGTAATATTTTTAGTTTATTTATTCCCCTTTTAGGGGAATTTCTTCATGGACTGCTTTCCAGAGAAAGCTTAAGGCATGGGATGGAGGGGAGACTTGAGGAAAAGAGAGGCTTAGGGGAAGATTAGCCATGATTTTTCAAAGGGTTGTGGTTTACAAATAGAAATATAGATGTAGTAAACTATTGGACTGTTTAAATTTCTGTGACTGATAACCTGGGAAATGGAAAATGTAATCACACATGTGATGGCATTCCTCTTAAGTTTATAAACAAAAGTGGTACTTTTGCTGGTCTTAAATTTAGACAGGTGTCAGCAGCAGGAAAAGGATGGGCTCATCTTGAAGGTGAACAGCAAAAGGACAAACAGGTTTCTCAAAGAAACACTGACAAGTGGTGTGGGAAGCAGTGAAGCCCATGCTGCCACAGGTTGCTTGGAGAGATGGTGGACTCTCCAGTCTTTGAGGGATTCAGAATTTGATTTTGGACAGTGGCCTGTGGGATGTAATGCCCAAAGTCTTTCTCTGAGTGGAGAGGTGGACCAGGTGGTGTGTGAAATCCATCCCAGCCCAAACTAGTCTTTTCATTACTGTCATTGTTCTGGTGTTCTGTTTTCTCACCAGAGATTTTTTTTGTCTCTAGATGCTATAAGACATGAATAGCCTAGCCTGAATTGCTGGTTTTTGGGAAGCCTGGCTTTTCATTTATGCTATTGTATTCTTTCATTGTACCTCAGATTTTTATAAACAAATCATCATGCTGTTCTAAAAGTTGGACTTGCTGCAGAAAATAATGAGTGCTTCCATTTCACTGGATGTAAGATAAATTGAAGAATTGTTCCTTTATTAGTTGTTTGGAAACTAATGCTAATGAGAGTCTTAGTTGCTGTCATTTTCCCTTAGGGGGTAAAGTAAAGCATTTTGTATTGTACAATTTATTTTGAGAATGTTATCAAGGAATACCCAACCAATTATATTTTTTTAAAATGCAACAACAGAAAAACCCCTGAGAATTATTTTTAACAAATGTTCTCTAAAGTCGGGATTTTTGCCTTAGGTAACATCTTCTTTATAATGCAAAGCACTCATGCCAGGATGTGTATTAATGACATGCAGATGAAAATAAGAATTAAGCAGGTTTTTTTGTAGGTTATGTTTAGATGTTTCCAGGTTGCATTTTCTATTTCTTTGCAACTCAAAGGTATAGTCGCTTATTCTTGCCTAGTGAATTTAGTGATGCACATAATCTGATTTAGAGGATTGATGCATCTGCACAAAACAGTTGGTAATAAATTTGTTATGGTGACAGGTGAAAAAATAGAAAACACTGGCAATGATGACAAGGCTTTTACAGAACAGTTTACCTGTCAAGGCAACTACATAATCTGGAAAGCATGAATAATGACCTTTCTTTATCTCAATCACTGTATGGCTTATTCAGAGTTATTGAATGTGGGGTAGCCTTCACTTACCATAGATGAAATCTTTTGAAACTATGGAAGAATAATATTGTTGATTTTCCTGTGTATCTGATGCTCTGCATTTTTTTGGCAGTGTTTTGTGAAAATGCTTTATTAGGATTTGCTGTTTGGCTGCTGAGGTTTGAATTGGATGGAAATTATGAATCACAGAATGGTTTGGATTGGAAGGGTTACTGAAGACCATCTGGGTCCAACCCTTCTGCAGTGGCCAGGGACACCTTCCCATAGACAACAGCCCTGTCCAGTCTGGCCTTCCTTAGTGCACAGTGCTTGCTGTTTATTAGCAGAAAGCCAGCCAGTTACACAGAGGGACAGGAGTGAGCAACTGTCCCACACTCCAGCTTTCAACTTGGACATGGAATCTTCTCTCTGGCTCTTCTGTGCCCACCTGAGTAGTTGCAGGTACATGGGCAGAAAATAACTTCCCCTGCGAAAGGCTGAAACTGCTATGGGGTCAATTGTAGTTATGATCTGTTTTAAGTTTGCTAATATTAAGTCTCAAAGACTATTGTTTGCATTTTAAGCAGGAAGATTTCACTCTGAGTTTCCTGCTGTGGGAAGTAGGAAACAAAAATCTAGCAACTTCCTAATCATCAGAACGAAACTGCTGCTTGATATCAGAATTAGTTGTTGTGAAGGTCTGTCTTTTGGAAGAAGTGGTACAGCTGATATTTTCTTTAAAGAGAAGAAGAATGCTACCTATATCTGTTTATTTACTATTTAGTAAATTTTTAGTATGTTCATTAGGTGGTCTCAAATCTGTTTTGTGAGACTTGCATGCATATGAAACCTGCAAAAAACCAAAGTATTTTCTTCAGTGTAGACCCAGGAAAAGAGTATATTTTGTGACATTCTAATTGACTGCTTTATGTGAATGTTTAACCTCAGGGAGGTTAAACACCACTGGATCTTCACACTCTCAATTGCACCTTTCCTGGGCTGTCCTGTGTAACAGTATGCCCCTTTATATATAAACAACTCTTTATTAAATGACATTTTTGTGAGCACTTTTCTGTGTTTATTTTCTTGGTTATATTCTTCACTGTGATGTGTTTAATTCATGGTTTTACATTTATTTATGATACCCTGCAGTCTCCACAGCTTGGCTTTGTCACATAGTGATGCACTTGATCTTTGGTCTTGGTTAATGCTTTCTGCAGTGATGAGAACAGAGGGGTGTATTTTTTTCCTACTTTTTGACACTCTGCAACACTCATCTCTGCCACTATTATATCCAAAAGAAGTACAGTACCACATACATTGATAACTTCGTTTTTGGTTAGTGCATGTTCGGTGTTCTACTTGCAATGTATCCCATATATACACATTATACTCTCTTTATGGTGTGCCTCATTTTTGCTCTCAGTACCATTCTGACCCTGAAATTACTTGGACATTAACAATTTTCATCCTTCCAGCATAAGATAATGAAGTGATGATATCAGATTTTGAGATGGAAACAGTAACTGTTCCCCAGAGAAAAATACAGCCTTGGCTAAGTTATGTAGGTCATGATGCTCCTTTGTCTGGGAGCAGAGAATCCTGTTTGTTGTTTTATTTTGCAATTCCAATGTAGTGGAAGAAGAAAGACTTGTTGACCTTAGCAGGAAGAGGATTATGATACCCTCCAAAATTGAGGCATGTATGGATGTCACAGTGTAGAACATTCAGATTATGTAATTGCCACCATGAATCTCAAGAAAATCAGCCATTTTTTGGACTGGAGAAGCAGTGATAAAAAGATACAGCATTTATAAATATACTAATTTCTCAGCAAAGTATTTTTTATTTAATTTGAAGTCATTTTGGTAGATAAACGATAGAGGGATTGTTGTTTTAGAGAAGAGATGATTCTAGTCAGGTAC